TCTAACCGCCCAGAAGCCACGCCCTCCCCGGAACCGGACGTTTGCAGCCCGCACCACTTGTTGGTCTATTAATAAGGGGCGGGGATCAGAGGAAACTGCAACTCCCAGCATGCAGCGCGGAGCTTCCGGTTTCCGGCGGGAGAACCGGAGTGAGTGTTTACACCGGCGGTCGTGCGGCCGGGTTCTTTCCGCGGGACGGGTGAGGGCACTGGGCCCTGGGCCGCGTGGGCCTGACTTATGTGACAAGTTAGCTGGTCCCATGGGAGCGGTGGGGTCGTAGCCAAAGAGAGTGTCTTCCCCACTACTAGCTGCTGATGACCTTGTGCCAGTGAATTTCTGGGTCTTAGTTGCCTGGTCTGTAATAGGTGGACGAGAATGCCTGCCTCAGGGAACGATTGTGAGGATTAAATGAGCTACTACGGTAGGGTATGTAAAAAATCTATTTCCTCCCTGTCATGAATCTGAGGATGGAAGGTACCTTGAGGATGGCTTGGGGCCTGTTGAGCAGCCTGCCAATTTCACAACCTTTTCTTTCCTCTTCCCTGCTAGATCCTTTTGAAGCAATAATCATTATAACAAGGGCTTTTCTTGATTATTCCACCCTCAGAATTTCTTTTTAAAAAAATATATTTTATTGATTTTTTACAGAGAGGAAGAGAGAGAGATAGTTAGAAACATCGATGAGAGAGAATCATCGATCAGCTGCCTCTTGCACACCCCTTACTGGGATGTGCCCACAACCAAGGTACATGCCCTTGACCGGAATCGAATCTGGGACCTTTCAGTCCGCAGGTGGACGCTCTATCCACTGAGCCAAACCGGTTTCGGCCACCCTCAGAATTTCTGATACATTTTTTTAATACCTATATGTGCCAGGCACTGGGACAGTAATGGAAAAAAAAAAAAAAAAATCTAATCTTTGCTTTCCAGGGCCTCCAAGAATGGGTTGGGGTGGTGTGAGATTAGGAAGTAAATAGATATAACTCTTTGCCCTGAAAGAATGTGGGGACAGCGAAGGAAAGGCAGTGAGGATAGAAGAGGTGGTATTTGTATTGGTTTTTATAGGAGTTTACTGTTTTGCTCAGAGGACAAAGAGAATAGGAATTACAAGGAGAGTTAACAGATGAGTGGGAGTTGTAAAGTGGGGAGTTTTGTTTTGAATGGGAAGTTAGTGGGAGTCGGACAAGGTTCTGTTGGCAGGAAGGCTGGCAGAGGGAATAGATATGAATGTTTTTGTAATGTAAGCCAGGCTGTGGAGTTTAGTCTTATTCATAAAGGTGATTTTGAGTCATTGGAGGATTTCTAAACAAAGGAGTAACTTGATCAGATCTATGTTTTTAAATGTGTTGGGTGGCAGCGTGGATGTTTGATAGCAAGAGGCAAGAGTCAGAGAACTTGTTAAAAAGCTCTTGCAATAGTTCAAGCAAGAGATGTGATGAAAATCAGAGGTGAGGAGTGCACATAAAGGAGAGAAGGTTGGATGATCTCATTTGAACCTCACACTATTCCTATTAGGTGGGCTGGTGTTTTTTTGTTTGTTTGTTTTGTTTTGTCTACTTTAAAGATGGAGAAACTGAGGCCTAGAGAGCTGAAGTTCCTTGCTGTCCATCATAGAATGAGTAAAGAGAGGGACCCCAGATTCTAGTTCTGGTTTGATGCTGCATCCTGTGCTTTTTCAGCAGTGTCACAATGAATTATCTCTCATTCAGCCTTTAGGAGGGGTGTGGGTGGAGTAGGGTGGTGATCTGTTCTTTAACCACTAAGGGCTCAATTTCTTTACAGGGAGAAAGAGAGAGCGTGAAAGAGAGAGGATGTCTCTCTCAGATTGGCACCTGGCGGTGAAACTGGCTGACCAACCACTTGCCCCAAAGTCTATTCTTCGGTTGCCAGAGACAGAACTGGGAGAATACTCACTGGGGGGCTATAGTATTTCATTTCTGAAGCAGCTTATTGCTGGCAAACTCCAGGAGTCCGTTCCAGACCCTGAGCTGATTGGTGAGTCTCAGTGAACTAGGGATGGGCTGCTGCTTTGATCTCTTTTTGGGGAGGATACTTGTGGAATTACAAGGATAAATTAAGAATTTGGAATTTGTTGCCTCATAATGTTAATACTTCTGAAAAGTGAATTTTGGGTGAAAAGAAGCACAAATCAAATAATAAAACTAGCCCTGGCCAGTTTTGCTCAGTGGTTAGCATGTTGGCCTAGGGACTAAAGGGTCACAGGTTTGACTCCTGGTCAAAGGCACATGCCTCAGTTGCAGGTTCAACCCCCAGCCCTGGTTGGGGCAAAGGTGCGAGGCAACCAATTGATTTTACTCTCTCATGTGGATACTTCTCTCTCTCTCACTCCCCTGCTTCCCTTCCACTCTGTTTAAAAATCAATGGGAAAAGTACTCCTGTAAGGTTTTAAAAATAAATAAAACTATTGGTTGCCATTTTAGTTGTGTTATTATACTGAACTACTTTATCACAAAGTTTTTGTTTGTTTGTTTTAAAAAATATATATTTTATTGAATTTTTACAGAGAGGAAGAGAGAGGGATAGAGAGTTAGAAACATCAATGAGAGAGAATCATCATCAATCAGCTGCCTCTTACATACCCCCCACTGGGGATTTGCCTACAACCAAGGTACATGCCCTTGACTGGAATTGAACTTGGGACCTTTTAGTCCGCAGGCCAACGCTCTATCCACTGAGCCAAACCAGTTTCGGCTATCTAATCATGAGTAGAATTCTTTCTCTGAAAGAGCAAGAATGTGGAGTGGGATAAGGAAGGAGGAGATGGTCAGGGAAAGCCATCAAATGACATTTTGAGTTTGGGCCTAAGGAATTAGGAAAAAGATTTTTTGGTTGATTAGTTAGAGGGAAAGCAATAAAAAAGGAAAGGAAGATGGCAAGGCCATTCTAGGTGGAGGAAGAAGGAATTAAATATAACAACTAAATTATATTATAAAAATATATAATCGCTAAGAGATCCAACAGACAAAAAGAGTGTTTTTAGTCATAAAAACACTGGGTTCAGCCCAGTCAGTGTTGCTCAGTGGTTGAGGGTTGGTCCATGAACCAAGAGGTCACAGTTCGCTTCCCGGTAAGGGCACAGGCTTGTGTTGCAGCCAGGCTCAATCCCCAATGCATGCAGGAGGCATGATTCCATGATCCATGATTCCCACTCATTGATGTTCTTATTTCTCTCCTTCTCCCTTCTACTATGAAATTAATAAAAAAACATTTAAAAAGCAAAATACTGGGTTTATCCTTTTTTGTTGTTGCATTTTCCCATTTATTAGTATTTAAGTTGAGCAGTCTCCACAATGTTAAGCCCTATAGCTTTCTTCTACATAGAACCTATATTTTTTGAGTTTGTATTTGCTAACAATTGTTATTAAAATGTATTTATTAAGACTACTTTGTAAGCATTTATCATTCTCCAGCTATTTGTCTAATCAAAATAAGGTTCTTGGGGGACAGAAAACACATAAATTGTTTTGAGGGGCAAAGTATAAATGGACAGTTTTTTTTTTTTTTGTTTTTTTTTGTTTTTTAGATCTAATCTACTGTGGCCGGAAGCTAAAAGATGACCAGACCCTTGACTTCTATGGCATTCAACCTGGGTCCACAATCCATGTTCTTCGCAAGTCTTGGCCAGAGCCTGATCAGAAACCAGGTGACTGGCAGTTGGCCCTTAGACAGGCAGAGCTTCCGTAGTATCAAGGGGAGGGTCTAGGTTTTTGAGGCACAGGTCTGGGTGGACAGCCAGGTTGTGTCTCCTTGCTTTTTTATTTCATAATTACTGAAATGGTAATAGAGGATATCTTTATTACCTATTGGGTTGGATGGCATTGATAAAACAAAATGCAGTTTTGATCTTGTGGCCAACACTAACAGATGGGAATTTTGTTTCTCTACTTTTTAAGTTCATCATCCACTGTTTTAATGGGGTGGGAAGTGTGTGCATATTTAAACTACTTTAGGTTAATAGTTTATTTCTTGGTGAATTTTGTATCTTTTTGTTATTGTTCTTACTAGAAAAAAGCTGGGGCCCTGGTCAAGGTTTCGGGTTTGATCCCAGGTCAGGGGACATACAAGAATCAATCAAGGAATACATAAATAAGTGGGACAAATTGATGTTTCTCTCTCCCTCTCCCTCTCTCAAACCAATAAATAAAAAAGAGAAAAAGAAAAAAGCTGGGAAATCCTGGCATTCCTCTAATGCAGCAATTTTCAACCAATGTGCCACAAGAATTTTTAAAACATGCAATACCTGACTGACTTCTTTTCTCTTAGATTATCAAATAAAAAAATGACAATAGCTAATACAATAGCCATACAGTTACAGGAGTGAGCAAAAGTGGATTTACAGTTTTCATGGGGAAAAATATATAGAAATATATAACACAACTGCAATCTACTTTTGTCCATCTCATACTTTTTTTTTTTTTCCGGATTAGCAAAAATACATTTTTGGTGTGCCGCAGAATTTTAGTTTGTGTGCCATCAGATGACACAGGTTAAAAATGGCTGCTCCAAGCGGTAGTTCTCTTGTTGGCAAATTTTCCAGCAAACTGCCTCAGGCAGTGACTTGTTTAGTCAGCTCATTTCCACCTGCTATAGTGGGAATGTATTTTTCTGAAACTTGAAAATATTCTAATAGTATTAAAGAGCTCTTAGAGAAAACATACAGAACCTCTAATGTATTTTGGACTTATTAATAAAAGGTGCTGCTTGGAATTTATAATGTAAATTTTGCATCTGTGTTTTAAAAGCCTCCCCAACAATAAAGCTAGGTTATATAAACTGTTACACTGTCAGTTTGATATTTTTATGTTTATGATTGCTATGACTAGTTATCAGCTGAAAATTTACCCTTTTCAATTCTAAACATAAAGGAGAAAGATCTTTTGCAAACTGATGGGAAGTGAGAAAGAGAAAGGTAGTCTTTGATATCCAGAGGTTGGCCTGATCCTCAGTTAGGCCTTGGGACATTAACCATTTCAAATCACCAATATCTACAAGGCCACTTAGGGACCATAGTGGATCAAGACAAAAACAACAAATAACATTGTACAGATCACAAAATTACAAAATATCCCTGTATTCTGGCTATTATGAATGATTACTGCTTCTTCCCAATTATACTTTTGCCTTGTTCTAGTTTTCCTTCTAGGTAAGAATTAAGATACCCAATCATAAAATCACCCCACTTCCTGACAGCATCCAACTTAAAGCAAAACCCCACTTCCTTAGTCTTCCCCCAGAGAATCCAAGAGCATTCTCTGTAAGGAGCAGTAAGTTCAATTTGTGCAATTGCAAGTGAGCCCCTCTGTCTGGTCTTTGGCGAGAAGGCATTGACAGAAGGAAAGTAACATTTGTTGCTTCTTCCAGCCAGATTGTGTCTCCTTGCTTTTTCATTTCATAATTACAGTGGCCCTGCAGGATAGGTAACAAAATTAGCATTTTATAGATGAGCAAAAAGAGGATTAAAAGGGCATTTATTCAAGGTCACCTACTTAGAAAATTAATGCAAAGCTGGGATGTTCATGCAGGTTTTCCTGGCTCAAGAGGTCGTGTTCTTTTTATTGGGCTGGCTGCCTCCCACTTCCAAAAAGTGAGATTAGCTCAGAGATGTCATAGAAACAACCATGACTCTTAACCAATTATTGGTTTAAGATATTAAGAGTCCTTTTCCTCTCCTCTCTTCCTGGAGATTTATTTTGGAAACAAATGGACTTTTTATTAGGAAGTTAACATATACTTTTAGATTTGGAAAAGAAACATTTTAGATACTGTATCTTTGAGTACTTTTTCAAAACGAAGCACATTTTGTTTCCCTGCCAGATTAGCACCTGTAAGAGGAGAATCTGTCAAACCTTCCTTTCCCTCCTGGATCCCTGGAAGGTTACAAATCTCTTCAGGATCTTCATTAGCCTCCTATTTGAGCAGGGATGTGTACCCCAAGTAGTAAAGTAACCAACTAAAACTAAGACAGCTGCTAAACTTTCCCTTATATGTGAACTTTGAATCCCAGTGAAACATGTGATATCAAGCATGTGATGAAAGTTTGTTAAGAATCCTAGAAGTACAGTGTATATTCTTGGTTCCTCTTGTATTTTTTAAAAAATTCAAAATATTAAGGAAGCCTGAAAGAATATATCAAAGAGAAAACAATATTTTTTTAAACATATTGTGTCAGTGTAGCTCAAGCATGTCAAACTCGCAGTCTGTGGGCCGCAATGAATATTTTTGTGGCCCAGCCAATATAACAGTATGTAAGAAACATTTTAATAAGAATATTGTAACTTAATTTTTACGATATCCTGTTATACATAATTATTAATAACAAACTACAACGTTTGCTAATGACTGATTACTATAATCGTGTTGCATTTATTTCCCTTATGTGCCTATGGGCAGGTGCACCATTTCTCCACTAATACTGGCAGCGAATTTTTTAACAGCCTATTGCCATGCCATTGCCCTTGCACTGACATGTTTGGTGTGTGCAACAGGAAATATTTCACTTTCTGAGGACAAAAAAAATAGGTTTATTTGCATTATACTTATTAATTTGGGCAGTTATTCAGTGTCTGGTAAGTTAAAGTTCAAGAAAAAAATTAATTTTTATTAAAAGTTTCTATTATATGTTAACAATGACTCATTTAATTCAGCCCTTTGTATTCAGCATGTCTGTATTGAAATAAACCTACATTTCTATGAAAATTGAAGCTTCTGTGTTGTTTTTTGTTTTTTTTGTGACCCACATAAACTTGAACCTTGTTTATTTGGCCTGTGTTAGCCTTTGAGTTTGACATGCTTTGGTGTAGCTCTGTATTGTTCAAATGACTTGCAGCACTTAGTGTTTTAAAGCATTGTGTAAACTACTGAGTTGGTTATACCTGTGTAAGAAGTCTAGAATTTCTGCAGTGTGGTGTTGATCAGAACAGTTTCTTTCATGTGATAAGATTTCCCTCTCCTGAAACTTAGACTAATTATCAATGACGATGCTTAAAAGGGCAGTTTTTACATTTGTGTCATAAATGGGTTTTCTTGAATGGACATTCACATTCTTAGTGGGATGATGAGGGAGGGAACCTGCAGACCAGACTGTACCTGGACACATGTTCTGTGTCTGCAGCACTGGCAGGGCTTGGGCTGTTGGGTAATTGTGTGTCTTATCCACAGAACCTGTGGACAAAGTGGCTGCCCTGCGGGAGTTCCGGGTGCTGCACACTGCCTTGCAAAGCAGCTCTTCCTACAGGGAGGCGGTGAGTTTGCTACAGCCTCCTGCCTGAGATTTGCCAGGCCTGCAAGAGAGAGTGTGAATGCTGGAGAGTGGTGTAGAGTGGGAGCTGGAAGCCCGTTGCCATGGCTACAAAGATTTCCTTGAGGAGTTTTTGCCATGTCTGTGGGTATCTGTAGAGTCCCCCTAACCCTCTTCTTCCCCCAAAGAGGCTGTATCAGCTAGGTATTGTTGATTGCCATCTAATGAAAATGATACAACTTCTGATACTGGCTTCACAGGATGAATATGATTACAGCCAAAGAATCTGCATATGGTTTCTGCTGGGCCTCATTCTTGGAAATAGTCTGAACTGCCTGCCCACTGCTCCTTACCTGGATTTCCTTACTGGGAAATACACTTATGTCTTTCTATATGAGAGTTGATAAGCAAAAAAGTAATACAGCTGAAACTTCCCAATATATGAATATGAAATGATAACTCTGCAGTGATTAAAAAGAACTTTGGCCCTACCTGGTTTGGCTCAGTGGATAGAGCATTGGCAACCAATTGATGTGTCTTTCTCACATCAATGTTTATCTCTGTCTCTCCCCTTCCTTTCCACTCTCAAAAATTAATGGAAAAATATCCTGGGTGAGGATTAACCAAAAAGAAGAAGTAAAACACACACACACACACACACACACACACACACACACACACAAAAACAAAACAAAAAAAACTTGGGATCAAAGGAAGCTTTGTTATTGGCTTGTAATGAGAACTTTTAATTTTGGAAGCTTTAGAAGTATAGATGGGGGGCCAAAACTGGTTTGGCCCAGTGGATAGAACGTCGGCCTGCGGTCGATTCCCAGATTCGAAAGGTCCCAGGTTCAATTCCAGGCAAGGGCATGTGCCCAGTAGGGGGTGTGCAAGAGACAGCTGATCGATGATTCTCTCTCATCAATGTTTCTAACTCTCTATCCCTCTCTCTTCCTCTCTGTGAAAAATCAATAAAATATACTAAAAAAAAAAAAAAAAAAAAAAAAAAAGAAGTATAGATGGGGGAAGGACTAGAGATGGAAGGTTTACTGTGATACTGCCTTTAAAAAAAAATTGTTTCCCCTCCAGTAAGCCAAAATCTCAGAGAAGAGGTTCATCTGTTTCCTGGAACTGTTGTTTTACTGTGGTGGTGTATGTGCAGCACTTAGAGGGAGGGAGCACTTCAGCGGAGTGTGGGAATTTGCTGAGTGGATTAAGCTCAGTCCTCCCCATTTCTCCTGCAGGTCTTTAAGATGCTCAGCAATAAGGAATCTCTGGATCAGATCATTGTGGCCACCCCAGGCCTCAGCAGTGACCCCATTGCTCTTGGTAAGTACAGAACTGAATTTGAGGCAATAGGAGTTGTTGGAGAAACAGAAACTAGAAGGTGGCAATTGCCCTAAGAAGACTCTGACCATCTTTTGAGGAATCACTGGTCTTGTTGAGGGAGGGGAGAACCAAGATGTGATACATATACTGAGCCTTCCAAGGGCTGTCAGCCCCTCAGAGAAATCATGGCCTGACTAACATCATAAATCATGGCCTGACTAACATCATAAAATAGCCGAAACCGGTTTGGCTCAGTAGATAGAGCATCCGCCTGTGGACTGAAAGGTTCAATTCCGGTCAAGGGCATGTACCTTGGTTGTGGGCACATCCCCGGTGGGGGGGGTGTGCAGGAGAAAGCTGGTCGATGATTCTCTCTCATCGATGTTTCTAGCTCTCTAGTCCTTTCCCTTCCTCGCTGTAAAAAATTAATAAAAAAACATATTTAAAAAAATCAGACTATAAGGGTGTCAGATGAGGGCAGCAGTTGGCCCAAACCACAGTAATCATGGAAGGCTTCCTGCACACACACCTTGATGGATAAGGAAGAACCCAGAGATATGGGGAAAAGAAGCTGGTGTTCAGCACACAGTCTGTGACTTAAGTGCAGGGAGGTGGCAGGCAGGGAACAAGATGGAGACCACTCAGTCGTGCTGCTTGATGTTTTGTTTCTTCCACTTCTTACATGGGTGCTTTGTGTCTCCTTGGAGCCAGTTGCTCTGAGGCTCTTCTCCCTCCTGGATCTGGCTAAGTTTCAGTCTCTGAGATGAATCCTGTTTTCCTTAGGGGTTCTCCAGGACAAAGATCTTTTCTCTGTCTTTGCTGATCCCAACATGCTTGATACGTAAGTATACCCTTCTTACTAAAGAGTTCCCTGTTTCTCCTCAAATGGTTGCACCAGAGCCTGATTATTGCCCTTGATTCTGCTCATGGAGCCCAGTCCCTGTCTACCCCTAAACCTACCTTCTAAATATGTCAGGAGGTGAAAAGAGCAGGAATGCTATGTGGGAACAATGAGACCAAGGGCAGGAACACCTGTTGTTGTGGAGATGAAGCAGGGTTTGAGGGAGGTGGCTTGTGGGCTAGGCTCAGATTAGCTCTCACTCAGTAGCTATGAAAGATTCTTTAAAGCACAGGAAGCTGGGGAAGGAAGCAGGTGCATCAATCCTTATTGTTTTAGAGCTGGAAGGGCCGGCAGAGGTTATGTCTCTATTTTGCAAGTGAAGAAAACAGCTCTCCCTCTCCTACTCCCCAAGAGAAAAGAAGGGACCTATCAAAGATTGCCCAGGGAAGTAGTACTGGGGTCGAGACCAGAAACTGACCACTGAGCCTCTCAGGCTGTCCTATCCTATCCTGCCCAAGGGAATGTGAGGCATCTAAAGTGGATCCCAGGACTGAAGGCCTTGCCATTGTTGCTAGGGACAGAGCAGAAGAGGACAAAGCGAACTGAAAGGAGGTGCTGAAGACTGAGGAATTT